TGAAACTTTTTGTCAGAAATGTCAGCAGCAAAATCATTTGCCTGGTTGTGTTGTAGAAACCCCATTAGCTAATGTGAACTCTGACAAAGTATTTTGTCCCCATGCAGACGCAGAAGACGTAAATTACAAAGAGACAATGCTGAATTAATAGCAATAGGCAGCAGGCCACAATACAATCAATCATTTTTATAATAATCAACAGGCAATTTCAGTTTGTTGAAACCTCATTAGATCAACCTTTTTCATTTCTTGTTAAAGAGGTTCCCTCATCCTTCTCTAAAAAATATAATTTAGTTGCTGATTGGATTTTGAGAAGCATCACATTCTACCTGCCTCACATGAAAGTGCTCTTTCTAAAGAACTTTGTAAAACTGATTACAACTGGTCGATCGTCAGAAAGAAAATATTATTTAACTCAGTTCCTAACACGGCATGGTCAAGTATTTCCCTGATTAGCCGGGGATCAATGTAAATAGAGGTTAACTGTTTTAAATCCAATATGTGAATATCAGATAGATTTCCTCTCCTCTCTGTCCATCCTGCCGTGAGTGTGTGTGAGATAGTGTACGTGCACATGTGCTGCATGTGTGAGCGTGACACCAGAGTGTGGACACTTTGTGCTATCAAGTGATCACACCTACACATGCCGGCAGCCCATATGTGGCCAAACTGCTCTGTGCAGAGGCAGCTGTGCACACAGACAAGCAAGCTAAGAGAATCAATATCTTCTCAGTGAGCTGGAAGCCTGAAGGAGAGTACGACTATGTTACTGTTGTACACAGGTCCGCTTTTTTTGTTGTATTTGTAGTGTAGTCAACCATTCTCATAGAGACTGTAGAGTTAGCAGCAAGATTCAGCGTGTTTAGAAACACTAAAACACAGTGGTACACTCAGTTTTCCTCTCAGGCCTCTTATGATGATCACTGTGTGTGTGTGTGTGTGTGTGTGTGTGTGTGTGTGTGTTATTGTGGTAGATGTAAAGCATATTGATTTTAAAGCAAAGCAGCCTTCCTAAAGCACACAAGCGAGTTTGACACAAATAGGTTCAGTCTTCTCTCTCCCGGAGCTCAGGCTCATTAAAACATATTACTGTTCTTGCCGTATAACTAAGGACCTACTTTGGGTGCCAGCCTATTGTTCCAGAAACTAAGATGTACACGTACACACACACACACACACACACACACACACACACAATGGAGGGCTCATATTAAATAACAGTAAAGCAAGCCTTTCATTTAAAGTGACATTGTTTGGAATAAATACAGCATGCACACACACACAGATACCACACAAACGCACACAGGCACACTGATATTTTGCATTCCCATACCATCTGCCTCTGTCTCTCTCAATTCAATCTACTTTACTGGCACAAATATTTGATCAGCAGTGTTGCCAAAACATCTAAATACCCAATGATAATAAACATCAAATATCTATTGAATCCAAGTGTAAAATTAAATAACTTGGGCAGAATAGACTACAACACAACAAATATTTGCTTCTTTGTAAATTTATAGCATTGCCCCCAAAATTATCTAAATATATATGTACTGTATGTTACGACCAGTGTTGGGAGTATGTCCTTACAAAAGTATGCAATTGACCCTTCGCTAAGCCACGCCCCGAATACACAGCTGGCCAATCACAGCACAGTAAAGGACTCGCCCTAACTGAGGTCCGACACTTTCATGGCTGCACTCCATTGACTGTAATGTAAAAAAAGTAATTTTCTAGCTTTCTTCTGCTGTATTTTTCCAAGATCTGGTCAAACGCTGTTCCTGGGGCACTTGTAATAGTTAGTATAATAGAGTCGCTACCCAGAGAGGTTGAAAGGAGAAGTACGATTTATTCTCTTTCCAAAACCTGTGGATTAATCCTAATGTGATGTTAGTTAGCCAACGCTAGCTAACTTCCTACTGAATGTAACGTAAAAAAGCCCTACTCTTCTGCTTTTTAATGATTGTAATAATGAATAGGGGCTTACCCATCTTTACAGGGACAGTGTTGATCCTTAATATCGTTGTCTTTTGTCTCAGTCGTCGGGGGATATGGTGGTTCACTTGTACTGTGTGATCGGTAGGCTTTAGCTTCCATCTTTCATTTTTTTCACATCCTTCGGGTCAGTTTGAGTCAGTGTGACAGCCTGAATACAACCTTCAAATGTATAATGCAATTGCAAAACTCCCTGCTTCTTTCTGAGATCACTTTTCCCAATAAAATTTCTCCGGGGAGTGCAGTAACAGACAGTGGCAGCGCCGACAGTTTGTCGGACTTAGCAACAGTAAATAAGGGGGGCGTGGCTTTTTTACAGATTTTTGCTGTAAGGCAAATGTACGTCCGTATCAAATGTCTGTAATATTATACCCGTTACAATCTCAGTAACTCATGTTACAATGCATTTTAACCTGAAATGTTGGGGGGGGTTCAAATTCACCAACACCGTGAAACATTTTGGCACCAGAAAAACAAATCCATGAGTAAAATAGTAACGTTTTTTCCTGCTGAAAGTCGATGGTTGAGATTCTAGGCAGGGTGCAAACAACACGGGGAAGCTTGGCTCCTCCTAAAAAGGGGGCTCCCATGAATACATGATTTGTGAGATTTTGGGGGTCTCTAAAATATTGACAACATGCTATTTTTGCCCTGCATTTCTATTTTTCTGTATCTTTATCATCATAGATCATGCGTAAAAGAATTATATATGTGTTTTAATGATTCACTTTCATGATTAGGGAGGCTGCTGTCAGTGCATCCTGACCGATCCTGTCAGAGTGTCAGGAGATTTAAATAATCAATGAAGTTATGCTGCTGTACCTTCTGTGTAAATGCGCGCAGCGTCTTTCTTAATGGGGAGACGATTCATCCTATTTCACCCATCTGCTACCCACCCACTATTAATCAGAATGTTCATTATTATTATGACAAAGACCCACCCGATCCAAGGATATAACTACGATCTGCACATCACTAGAGCCCACGTATGCAAGAACGTCTTACTATCTGAACAATGTGCCCATTAAATAGCAGTGAGAGTAACTCAAACGTAGTGTAAAGCATTACAATTAAGAGACACTAATGTGGTAATATAACTAATTACTCTCAAATGACAGTAACTAGTAATAACTATAATGTATTACATTTTTGGAAGTAACTTGCCCAACAGTCATTACAACTGTAATCTGACAAAGCCATGTTGTTTGTCATTTGTCCAATAGGGATGCACAGACAAGGGCTGTATGTGTCTGTTTTTAGTTTGTTCTAGTTTATTTGACTAAAAAAATGTAGACTATGAGACTTTGAGACATTATGTCCAATACCTATTTCTGTTGTGGTTCTTGAATAATGCAGGAGTCCAGGTGACCAAGATAGAACCACAAACCAGTACAATAAAGACCTTTATCACCATTAGGGCTGCGACTAACAATTATTGTCATTATCAATTAATCTGCATCGATTCATCATAGTCTATAAATGACGGAAAATTATTAAGAAAGTCCATTATAATTTTAACTGAGCAACAGTCCAAAGCCAAGAGTGATTTAATTTCCAAAAGCAGCAAATCCCCATATTGGAAAAGCTGGAACCAGTAGATGTTTGCTTGAAACAACAACTAATCGATTATAAGACTAATTACTTCAATGTGAAAGGATAATTCTTGGCACCATAGAACCTTAAAGGGGCTATAATTATTAATATTTTTGTATTTACACTGAATCACATGACCGCTTCAATGAAAGGGTTCGCTCAGCTCTATTGAGCTGCTCTGCTCTGATCACTAAAATGTTGCCCAGATGTTCCAGAAAACAGTGACGGATTATGTGAAAGAACACAGAGTCAACATGTGATTTTCAAGAGCCTGCATCTATTTGTTGGTGTACTTGATGCGTGATGCACAAGTAGGACCTGGAAAGTACTCATTGCTGCAGTGTGGACTCCTGCCCTCTGTCCACTTTATTAAACTGCTTCTAATTTGTGATTACAGCCTGTGAAATACAAAACAAGGTCAAAAATAAACTGGCCATGGCTGACAGATGTTGTGGCTACGCAGCTTTGCTGTAAACAGGCTCATATTTTTGGATGCATGCTGTAAAAGATCCAGAGATTCAAACTTTAGTAAAAAAGCTTATTGGCTGTTAAACCGTGGATACAGAGACTACTGACTGGCTGGCAGGTGTTGTGTATCTTGTTTTTGATGTAGCGCACTTAATATATGGTCTGTTCAACAGTACTTTGCTGTGTGGCTGTATTTAGATTAAAACATTTATTCTTTATATAATCGGATGTTTTTTTTATGTTTGTCTACATTTTGATAGCCAACGGTGTTTTAATTGAAATGAGGTTTTTCTGCTCCCTGAGGTTTTAAACTGTGTTTGTGTAGGCCTGCAGAAAATTAAACAACAGCTGTTCTCTCTTGAATACTGAGACACCTCAAACATAACTCTCTTTGGCAAAATATTTATAGGCTAACTTAACCAGGGGCGTCACACAAAAATCTGGGCCCCGTACTAAAGCATACTCTATGGGCCCCTCCCTGCATCCACGGCTATTGGTTCTACAATCTTTATGGGCCTGACATGAGGGCCCTGTATACTCAAAACCAATATCTGTATACAGCCCGTTTATCTTTCTTGGTAAGAGGAAATGTTATGCCACTGATTGATTCCCTGCAAGTAGTACTTTCAATCATGGAGTGTACAAACTAGGATGGTATTATCTCGCTCATACCATGCATGGTAACAAAATTCCATATGTCCAATTAAAAATATCAGTTGTTAATTTATTCATATAACTAATTCTGTTTTGATATCACAAGCTACCAGCTTCACCGTGGCTAATTCTATTCAGGTCCTCTAATAAAAGTCCTCTTTCCTCCTCATCGTTAGTTGATTTAGATGTTCAGATTCACACAAATATCAAAGACATTTTAAATTAAATTTGTGTGATTAGTACCTGTATACTGTAAATGTCACTGACCTCTCTCTCTTTCCCCTTAGGGTGGCTCCATCCAGAACATCGAGTCTCAGCGTTGTCTGGAGCTGGTGGAGAGCAGACAGTCAGAGTTCCCTTTCCAGCTGGTCATTCAGGACTGCACCGATCAGAAATGGACCATTACTAACATACTGACTGTCCTGCCCCAGTGAACACACACCAGCCAGTTAGTGTGTTGTGGCAGATTAATCTAGTTAGCGAGGAAGTTCAAGTGGGGAGCTCCGACAAAACCAAACTGACCCCGACCCAAGATCAACCATCACCGAGTTCTGTCACACGTCAAAAAGAAATAATAGAAATGGACTAACATGCTGACCTAAGCAGCGAACCAAGTGTCCAAAAAATGAGCTTCAGTACCGGACCTATTTTTAACGAGAGTCTGCACAGGAAAAGATGTGCTTCAATCAGACACGGACCATCAGTAACCTAATAACCATTTTACACCAATGACCTGAGAGAAGAGACGCTCACAGATGGAGCCGGGGCTCTTAAAACTTCCCACTCTGCAATCGAAATGAGAAATATAGCCACTTGTTCCAAGGGACAGGCTCGTGAAATCATGTAAGCACTCTGGTTATTGCAGGAGCAGGCCTGCGATGTATTTTGGGTCCCCGTCCGCAGTTTGAGATAGAGCCTGCATTCCCTCAGTCTCATTGCACAATCACCATAACAAATTGAGTGAGCATGGTTTCAATATGTTTGTGTGCAGAGGGAGAAATGCAAGGTGAGCGACTGCACGCGTCCCAGAAACATCTAGCAGGCGTGCAGTACAAACTGGCTGATTGTCACACATGATGTGGCGGGGGCAGGTTTTGAGTTATTACCGCTACACACCACTTGACTCAGACTGTAGGCAGGACAGATGCTCCAGATCCCCTCAGTATCACAGAGAAGTTAAAATCTACCCTAAAAGACTCAGTCCACACTGGTGTTTTTAGTTATTTTGGCCAATTTAAAGGTTTTATGTTTAAATCTTCACCAAACACAATATATTTAAAAGAATCAAAGCTGTAGTTGTCCTGCCATAACAGGTATAATAAAACTGACACAAGAAGATGTTGATTTCACGCAGTCTGTGGACGCCCACACAGCCCTGAGAAGATGTCTAATACATCTCTAAAATAAATGAAAATGCCTGCGTGGGTGTGCAGGAGCTTTAACAGAGCAAAATGTTCTGATACTAACTGTCCTATTTCAGGGGTCTCTGCTTTCAGAGTCCTGCTTTTGAATGTGGCGACCTAAGGCTGACCCCGGTCTATGACCACAGCCGAGAAATGCGTCATTCTTTTGCCTCGACTCTCTTTACGCCACATTGATGATCCTTGATCCTTGTTGGATAATGATCACGTAACTAAGTCCTGTTTACAAAGAAGTAAAGCTATGAAAAAGCCATTGAAAAAGTTGTTTGTCCTTGTCAGCAGCCTGAACATGTTGTTCTGCACTACATGTAGAATGCTCTGATGCACACTTTATGATTTGAGTCAATTTAAGTTATGTGGATACGTTAACTGAAAATGTTGTTTGCCAGTAAATTTGAAGGATAAATCTGGTTAGTCCAACTCGGGTCTTATTTTTGTCGTTTTCGCCATCGTTTCTAGCAGGTACTGTATATTAACATCGCGCTAACTGGTGAAGTGGCTCTTGCTGAACATGAGTAGTCAGATGTCCAAACAGGTTTTATTTAAGCACCAGTCAGACTTATTTGGATGAGAAAATGAAGTGTCTATGGTTGTAAACATCTGTCACGGTTTACCGAGCGACTTCCTGATTCAAATTTGACTGAGATTCTTTTATCTGCTAGATCCGATGAAGTTGGTCTCAAGCACAAGTCCACAAGTCCATTCTTAATTCAGGCTGTTTATTCACAAGTGTGGTCAGGATAACAGAAGTACACCCCAGGATCTGCATCAAAAAAGCAAACCAAGCCCCTATACAATGTGCATGGACATAAAACTGCTCTATCTGAAAAGTGCCCTGAGATAACTGTTACTTATAGGCCTAATTTGGCACTATATAAATAAAACTGAACTGACCAGATAAGAGTAAACAAAATTTTTTGTCACTAAATGCAATTATTATATCACAAAAGCATAGTAAATATGGTTATTTTATATTTAACAAAACGCTTCCTGTGCCATGAGGGATAATTACTGACATTTCAGGTACGCTCACTTTCAGCTTCACCTTTGAATTAAGTGGTTTCAAAAACATGGCTACTATAGTGTTGACTGGAAGCGATCTGGATACAGGAGTCCAGTCGGTGAAGGCTGAAGACCAATCTTGAAGGTGGAGCGAAAAGCAGAGGAAAAGGAAAGATTCTGGACTGACCAGCATACACACACAACGCTCACTGCAAAGGCCGTCACAGCTCATCTAGAACCTTTCTCATCTTCAGACCACTCGTGCTTCCTGCGCCGTCAGATTTCTTTTTGGCGACGGCTTCAGTGAGTAAAATGTTAGCACAACTGATAAAAACATTGGCTAAAATTAAGAACACAAGGCTCAGGTTGTGGTAAGCCAAATTATCCTTTAAGCATCACATCTCATAAACTCTAGTATCGTGGAAATGTCCTGAGTGTACCACTGTTTTTATACTGCTTTGTTGTCTGTTTGAGTTACTGACTTTCTGAGCTGTTCAGGACAGCCAGAATGCACCGATAGTTTGGGGGAAGACCTCCCAGTGACACTATGATGAATCCTCTATCAAAGGCCCACCTCGCACATAGAAAACCTCTGCTCTATCATATCGTTTCAGGAGGAGGTGCAGGTACAGCCCGCCGGCCCCTCAGCCTTCCGAAGGACACATCTTATTAGTTTGTACACCTGAAATAGGACCCAGGCTGTCATTACATACTCTGCCTACACAGCTGCAACAAAGTCAAGCCCTGTCTTTGTGGGTTGTCAAAAGGTATTCTGGGAAATGTAGGACATCGATACTTAATTGTTCAGAAGTAGAATCAGATGAGGAGTAATGTAAAAGGAACAGATTGATTATATATCATCCGTAACAGATGGATGGTATCTGACAGTGGACGAGCATCCGAGGAGCAATTTTTCCTTTAAAATTCTGCTGCTGCGTCCTCGAACCAGTAAATAGGGGGGTGTGGCTCAGGAGGAACAGCGGGTTGCCCGTTAATCTGAAGGTCAGTGGTTCAATCCCCGGCTCCTCCAGGCTGCATGTCGAAGTGTCCTTGGGCAAGATACTGAACCCCGAATTGCCCCTGGCGGCTGTTCCGCCAGTGTGTGTTTCTGTTTGAGCACTCAGTGTGTGTGTGTGTGTATGGTGAATGCAGATGTAGTGTAAAAGCGACAGCAAATACGCTGGAGTATGTGTGCCCTATTATTTGTTTTGTTCGATAAATGCTTTTGTTTTGCTTAGAGCTCACAATGAAGAGTACCTTCTTCTTCATCGTCGAGAAATGTGCCACTCAAAGATGTGTAATTAAAATAAATCCATATTAGACATGTATGCAGGTCTTATGTATGGAATTACATTTTTGCCTCAACTCTGTGCTCACAATGGGACAATTTTAGCACAGAAAAAGACTTTGGAGAAGTTATTATCTCACAAAGAATAATTTCTTTGCATTATAATAATTTCTTCACAAAATACAGTTTATGTGCATGCAAGGAGGAGGAATTTGACACGCAGAGCTGTAATTTGTTAATATTATATAATATATATATATATATATTAATAGTAATTTGTGCCTCCTTTCTGAGCATGTGATGGGACAATTTTAGTACAAAAATCAATTTAAAAAATTATTTTGTAGAGAAATGAGCATAAAAAGAGTAATTTCTTTATTTATCATTATCATTTGTCTGCAAAATATAGTTTATGTGCATGCAAATTTTTCTGTTCTTAAAGCCCCATTGCTTGCACAGATATAACACCATACAGATTGGGCGTTTGTGACTGAGATATTGTGTGGATGTATGTTTTATGTATGAGTACATTTTGCTTTTGTGGATTTTACATTTGCATATACTACTGCTAAACCATTTGCTCTACATTTACAGATCTCCAAAAGTTACACACTGTCATAAAGCTTTTAATTAAATACAACTGCTTTGCAATCAATCTCCCAATTATTCAAAGCCCCGCACTTCAGCAAGCTTTATAAATAATTAAACACAAAAACAGGATGAACCAATTTATTATTAATCTGGCTATTATGTATTCAAAAGTTGTTGCTTTTCAATCACAGCCCACTAAGGTACCACTAACACAGTGATCATGCAGTGGCAACTTGTGGAGGACTGGAACTGTATCTATCGGCTACTGTGTAGCATCTGTTACCAAACCTTCTGTTGACCTTCTGTTGTTTTTGTGGCTCAGGTTTGTGGATCCTGAAATTTTAAAAGTATCTCAATTTTTGGGAAGCTCTTAATATATATAGTCATGAAAATGTCCAGGCTATTTTATTAGTGTATTTAAACTGGATATTTATAAGTACCAACAGTAAAAAATGATGATGGCAAAACTTGTCCTGTGTGACCGTCTCTTTCCACCTGCAATGAATATTCAACACATTTGATGCTGCGGATGTTGGGTTAGCATGCTAAAACATAACATCTGCCCTTACATAGTAGATTAACTGGCTTACAGATTTAGAGCATTGAATATTAAAGACTGTGATGGAAGAAGTAATCACATTCTCCTGAAATTCCACTAAAATACTATATTATAGGCAAATGTCCTGCATTTAAAATCTGACAGGTAAAAGTGTTCATTATCAGCAAAATGTAAACCTGCATTACTTTTTAGGCCACAAACACAATATTGACCTTAAAGTTAATATGGTCAACTGCTGCCGATTTACACATCCAGCAGACACAGAGCAACATTAGCACTTTTAAGCTAATAAATGTTCATCTTTCTTCACCAGCTGGTCACTAACTTTTTCTGCCAGCTGCAGCAGGAAAGGAGGTTGATGAGGGCAGTGAGACTGAACCAAAAACAGTAAAGCTACTGAGGATAAAACCAAAAGAATGAGCTGAACGACGCTAAAATGCGTGTGTTGTAGTTGGTGTGGTGTAGTGAGTGAATTTTAACTGCTTAATATAATGCTGGGTAGTTTAACATTAACTACAACAGTAACTACAGCTGTCAAAGAAATGCAGTACAGTAGAAGAAAAACTTACCTCAAATTTGTACTTAAGTACTGAACTTGAGTAAATGTACTTTGGAAGACTGCATGATATACTGATTGATTGTGTCATCATAAGACTAAAACTGACAGATTTTAGCATTTTCTGACAATGCCTTTAACCATTTTCAACTGCCGTGGACACTGAATTAAAGCAGATACTTCATTAATGTAGATATGTGATAATTCATAAATGTATCAATTAAAAGCGCGGTATACAAAAATACTTGATCAGCTGTAAAGCCCTGATGCTCTATCATCCCCTCGTTTGTTCCCTACCACGTTACTATGTGTGTGTTCTGAATAAACATAATCTATTAATAACAGAAAGATTACATAAAAGTCATCCGGTAAAAGAAATGAATGCCATTTCTACTACAACCGCCTTGTAGTCTCACAGACTCCCGCTTCTTACAACTCAGGAAGTAGCTCTTCCGTTAAAAATGTTTTGAAACAGGTGAAGGGAGAAAATATTGTGCAGTGCATCTAATCAAAATTACATCTAAAATGGTTCACGTCTGCAGCTACTAAATTCTACATGAGCTTCATAGACGCAGGTCGCTAAGTGGGAGACAGGCATTTTCCTGTGTGTCTGCGTCTCTGCTGAACTTGGAGTTAGGCATCATGAAACATGTATGAGATGGCACTGAGCACTGCTAACATCAATCCCAGTAATACTGCTGTTTACTCTCCCACTGTCTTATAAAAGCCTTCATTTGCATGCACACACACACACAAACACGCACAGACATGCACACATTTCACAATTTATGTCACCATTTTACCACGAGGAAATGAAACAGAAGTGGCTGCTAAGGATGATTTGTGATTTCCGAGGCCCTTACATTGTTGAGGGCAAAGCATTCTATGTAACGGATTTATAGTAATCTCATAAGAAGATGGATGCGTTTCACTATGGTACAGATTAATCTGCACATCTTCAGCACATATTCATAGTTATTTTAATTACTGTGACTTTCTCATTTTAACGATATTTTTATATATTTGGGGGCAACAAACAGTGAAATGATATCAAATTCTTATATCACAAATGTATGGTACTGTAGATTTAGAAACTAAAAGCCATTTATGTGTCTCACTGTTAATATTGCTGAGATGCCTCCCTAAACAGACCTACAGAAAAGGTCTATAAAGCTTTCAACTGAAGTGTATTTCTGGCACAGACTTACAACATTTTAACAGTTTTTTAAAAAGTAGTAATTATTACTTTAAAGGCACACATGTAATCTACAAAATGGAGACTTAACTTCACTGCAGTGAGACTTGACTTAGTGAAGACTTGAAAGCAACAACATTCCAGTCTCAAATTTTCAACTGGTAAATTCCCAAACAGTAACATATAAATGATGCATTGCCAAACTATGGTTACAAACTATTATTAAAATTTTAATTATTAAATTAAAATTATCTATAAAGCACTGTAAAAGCTTTAATGGTCAGGTCTTGAAAGACTTGACATGGACATCTCTCAATCGAGACTTGATTTGATAACACTTGAGACTTGGCTTGAGCCGTGCTTGATTTCACTTGACATGGATTTGTCTTTGTCAGCTTTCTCAGACTTGACTTGGATTTTGAAAACCAGCTCTGAGCTGTTGACACAGTGGAGGATTTTAGCCTCTTATGATGGTCTGAGTACTCTAAAGATTTTCCACGCTGACAAGTATAAAACACTGCAGACCAAAGGAAAAAAATGGAAACTTTTACTTGTGCAGTTTGTCTGCTGTAGTTACGCTAATCTGGGGGCAGATGTGTGGGCCTCTCCAGCCTCACAACCTCCGAGTATACACTAATTATCACCTCCAGGCAACTTCCTACTCTCTCGCTAGCCCACTGAGGAGCTGGATGGACTCTTTCTTCCTCAGATCACTCTGTCTTTATCCTCTCACTCCTCCTCGCCTAGACCTCTTCCTTCCCTCTCTTTAATTCACTTTCCCCCCGCTGCCTCCCCCCCTTTTAATAGATACCATTATAGAGAAGCTGCGTCTTCACTAAAGAGAAATCCATCCTTTAACACAGTGCCTTCTTAAAGGATTAAAGTGATGCATGAGTATGCCCAGGCATCAAAACAGCTTTACGCTTTGTCTCCATAAGCGATAAAGCATTTCCATGCATGACTTGCCATAAAAGCTGAAACCCTGCACCTATATTGTTAGGGGGAGTTACCATGAACACCTCATAAACAAGTCTCAGAGCCTCTCATAACATCAAAGGCATTGTAAAGCCTGCACGTCCGATGAGCCGTGAGCATGGCCAATAATAAACACACACACGGCCGCGCAACAACGTAGCACTTAACGGCAACTGGGTGATTAAAGCCAGCGAGGCTCTCTGGGGCCTAGTAAGGCAGCGGTAATGATGCAGCGTCAACCTTTGCTCAAGCCTCATTGGCTCACGCTTCTGCTGAGACTTAATTGAAGGGTACACTTCGTTAACACTGTTGCCAGGTGACCACAGAGGCCTAATCGAAGGGCAACGCTTCATTGGATCTGTGCCTGTCCATCAATCAGGAGCATTAGCTAGAGCATAGCTTTTCAATGTTGTTGGCAGTGCAACGTGTTGACTGGAAGAGGGAAGAAGTGCAGGATGAAAAGAGAGAGGAGGGGAAGAAAAGTAGAAACAGGGAGAAGATAAGGGGTGCAGAAAGAGGAGGGAAAGGCACGAGTGAGGAGGATTAACGGTCCATGGGAGACAAGAAAGGCGGGAGGGGAAGGGAGTCCTTGGGGATCTGATTATCAGATTAGGCAGCAAATGCTACGTCAGCAATATTTCAGCATGGAAATGAAAGCTCTCCTGGCAGGAAAAAAAGCCTAATCTCCTGTTTCTAATTGGATGAAACCTACGCTCAGCAAGGAAACTATCAGAACTCAAACTCAGAATGAAATGACATTGAATTCCTGTGCGCCATTCAATTTCCCACAAAGATTCTCATTTTGTGGGATAAGTTCCTGTGGGCCACATATAGGGAACTCAAGATTATATTAATATTTTGTTATATTAATATTCTAGTTCTGTGTGTAGAGCACAGATAACATTGAAAGTAGTAGTTATCATTGCAGTTAGGCAAACATAAATTCAGCTTGCTGAATCCTGGGGCAGGTATGAAGTTGACTTGTAAGTGAAATGAAGGCTTTTACTTTGTTAATATAGTAGAAACTGGGGAGGGATAATTTGGCATTACCATAAACTCTGTATATGGGTCAATGGTAATTAGACTAATGAGTGAAATTCTATTATGCGGTGAAAGCCTCTGCAAAGGTGTGCATCCTTGAGGGATTCACTCTATCGCTATAAAACACACAGAATGGAACACCATTCACCATGACAGTTGCCTGGAGAAAAAAAAAAAAGGAAGAATGAAAGAAGCATCAAATATCACCATCAGGCTGTGAAAGCTCTGTCGAGTCTGTCACTGTCTCTTCACTACAAACCGGGAGAGCAAACCTGAAAAATGCCCCCTGAGGCAGTCAAAGAAGCCTCCAACGAGAACTCTTGTATCTGTGCACAGGTGACTGGCTCTGAGAAGGTCAGCAGAGGTGTGGGATTGATGAAAGCTCTGTCAAATATCACTGGGAGGAGTGGGCTTGATGAAGAATCTGTCAGAAGACACCACTGAGGCTACGAAAAGCCCCCCGCTCAGCTGCTCCAGAGTGCCGCAACGCCTGCGCTGTTGCCTTCCAAGCACGGCTCTTTCTCCCACTCGTAGGGAAGTACAGACAGGCATGAAAAGGAGCTGCTGTGAATTGTTCATCGCTTCCCTGTCTCCAAGGAGCTCCTGCAAACAGAAAACACACCATGGGTGGAAAATATAACACAAACAATCTCCCAAACTGGAACACGGGGCCTTGTGCACACATCCATGAAGGTCTGATGCACTGAGCCAACTTAAGGCAACATTGTGCAGAGCTGCATTCAATGGCAGGGAGATTATGAGAGATCCTTTCCCCTGCCCACAAAGCTTAGAAGTTATTAGTGTTGTAACAACCCTGGCAGGGACCCGCTAACTTCCCTGCCAAGTCCAAGCCGCCGGTTGGTGAGGGGGCTGTGCTGTCACCGGGGAAGCGTGAAGCCTTTTTGGACACACTCCCTGTCAAGTTTTTTCAGATATCTGAGATATTAGTCCGGGCACTGTGACCAATGGCTTGAAACCAGGACAATCCACAGTTACTGTACCCTGGTATTTGTCATTGATGTCTACCCATCAGGCCATAGCAGTGATTCATACTGGTCAGCATTCTCCCCAACATGTGCAGCAACATGATTATGGCAAACGCAGCATCACACTGTGTGCTACAAAGACCTCATTTCCATTGCAGCTGTTGGCCTAGCACAGAACCCATATAGCTTATCGTAGAGCAGAGGACTGACAGGAGGAAGGTGCAGTGGAACAGAGAGCTGAAGTCCTGGCGTACTATCTCTCAATGTGGGGTTCTTTCATCAGTCTTTCTGAAAATGTGAAGTTTTTCTGCTGGTTTATTATATTCTGAGATAAATGACCATCAACTACAGCACTTGCTATTGTTACCCTCTGTGACTTTAAACTTGCATTAACAGATTTTTTTGACCACATGGGGGCAACAGAAACAAAGACAATGCCTTAATTAAAATGGCCTATTAGCATTCATTTGTTTGTTAGGACTAGCATTCATTTTAGTGTTTGTGTCCACCTGGTGAATGTAAGTCCAATATTCAGTCTACTTGTAGCTTTTTAGCTTTGGTCTCCACCAACGCCTGAGGGATGTAGCCGGCTCTTTAGCTACCAAATGCTCTGCTATGTTCATCAGCTAGTTTCTCACTTTGTCTGCTGTTTAGTGTTCGGCAGGTAGTGTACAATGACTTTACCTCTGTGTTTGTTACTATGACAGCGTAGCAATGCTGAAAATACATAATTCCAAATGTTGGTTTCCCCTATATGCTCCATTCACCCACATCCCATTTGCCCACAATATCTCAAAATTTCAACAGGAAGCCTGACTCAAACATAGTTTTTTTCTCACTGAGCTGCAGCTTGCAACTGCGGTCTGAACATTATGACATGAACACGGCAATATCCATGATATCCACCATCGCCCTCTTCTAATGTCATCTTGTAAACTTTTTCACTTTTTCTACTGTCTATAAGACATATCTGAAATCCTGGTGGTGTTTAAACCACAGATGTCTCAGAAATATTAAAAAAGCAATGATAATACATTTCTAAAAATGTACTCTGCTTATCTAGACATTGTGTGGTTCACATTGTATGGACCGAACCACACTTTGTACCGTTTAAGAAGATTATGCTCCAAGACTGGACTTTGGACTGACTTCATGTTCTTACAAACATCTATGTGATTTCGAACGGGAGGTGGGGGTTCTTACTTCTGGAAGAAAACACAAAAGTTAATGTATCTCTTTGTCCGAAACATGGCTTGAAAATGACAGTAATCCAGTCTTAGCTCTCTTGGCACAGATAATATTCCCTCCTAACATCTCTCTTATCACCACAATGAAACTTTATCAGCATTTCAACAGCAATGTTGTGTTAAATCAGATCGGACCATCAGGACTGTCAGTGGCTGGCTGGTCATGTCCAGATGTTCCTCAGAATATATAAGACAACTTCTTTTTTGCCTGCAATTGGCTCTAGAATGATCCAACTTGTGTGTTAGGATAAATATTTGATTTGGATCTGCAGAAGATAACACTGTTTTTATGGCCTTGGTGTGATAACTATTTACTGTTGTACTAACTGTAAATCAAAAGCATCTTGTATGTAACTCCTTGTTTTATGTCTGGTGACCACTTCAGTTTCACGTTTAAAAGGATTTGATCATTTCTGCTACAGTATCTTGCGGTACATTTTGGCTTGAACACAGGTCATCCTCTTTTAGTATTATTTCAGCCCCAGTGCTCTGTGAGATATGTCAGAGATGATGGATACCTCTCATGAGTAAACAGAGCAAACGAAAACAGGTACACAGCTACAACTCTATACTGGTGTATTCAAGGCCTGGCAGCTTGGAGAAAAAGAAAAAATACTATATTAGCAGGTCTGTCATGTACCAAGCAGAGGGATATATTACAGCTAGAAGCAGTTTTAAAACAAGTTGGGGCCCTGCCAAGAAAGTCTCAGAGCAATATCTTCAGCCATATGGATGTGGGAATGCATTCTGCACTGGCTGGCACAGGGACTCTGACAATATTTAATACTGTGTTGATATAACCTTCTGGGAAATCATGCTCAGGATGTCTTTGGGGCTTAAATGAAAATACAGTTCAAACGGTGACTGATGTAAAACTCACAAAATATGTACCTACATTAGTTTCTTCCACTTAATACAACTGATTTAGTAGAGTGATTGTATTATTATTATTATGACAAAATGGAACACAATACTGTATTTCTGCTATATTACTCACCGAGGCTAAACTGCACTCACTAAGGTGCGATGCATTAATGAAAGCAATGGATGGAAGGAATGCAGTGTCTATTGTAGTCTAGCTGAACAAATCAATGCAATTCATATTGTTTTAATGTTCTTTTTCATATTCTGAACCCGGTTCCATATTCTGGTCAAATCACACACAGATTAACTTCACTGAACTGAACAGCGCAACACTGCCACCATACGGACAAATGTACAAACAGACACTCTCCAACTCATAGTTATGACTATAATGACAGTTATATCAGATATAATATATATGCGACCATAAACAGTTTACGAGATAAGCTATTACGTTGATGTTAAATATTTGTGAAAAGGGGTTGCTAAAGAAATTAACACGTGGAACCAATGCCACTGTGTTCGGTTAACAGGAAGAGGACTCATATTTCGGTTGCACAGTTTCTGTACAGGCGCTTCCTGTCGGGGAGTGCTCGCTAGCTTGTGGAGCAGTTTTGGTCATGTTTCGGAGTGTTTTGGGTAGATTGGTGACAGAAACAGTTCGTGTTCACCGCCATGGGAAGACCGGTCCCTTAAACCAGAGGGTGACAGCCGCCTCGGTGTCGGTCAGGAGCCTCTCAGGCGTGAAGGACGAAGCGCAGCAGCCTTTTGACACCTCCCTGCTTGAGTTCCTGGTATGCCCGCTGTCCAAGAAGCCACTGAGGTAGGAGGACAGATACAACCGGGCAAAGTAATTTAGGCAGATGATGATGATGAGCGGATGCGTAATGAAGCTTTGGGGCTGTCTTTCTGTGTGTGCCGAAAAAAGATCCAAAGCTTCAAACTCAACAAACACAGTGACATCTAGTGACTTGCGAAACTCATAGCAGCCGACTGGGGCCAAAGCACAACACGTCGCTGATCATAGTTAGTCTCATATGTGTGCAATAAAATTCCAAGAGGCCCGCGATTTATTATTAAATTTGTATACTTTGGCTCAGAAGTGCTTAATTAAATGTAAATGTTTCTACGCAATATGTTACAGTAAAAAAATAAAGTCATTGTCCAACCTACATAATAAATATTTTTGTTAAAATGAATGCACCTGAGTTGTGGCCGTGTTAACTCCATGGTTGATTTTTCTGTAACATTTCATGAGTCAGATTTCTCATAACAGTTACTTGTGATTGTGTCTTTCTAGTACGTCACCACATTTCTCCAATATCCTCTTCTCTCCACGTCCCATTCATGTGCCGACCTCATAGTTTAGCTGAATGGAGCTCTCTCTGACGCACCAGTGACGTCTGAAGCTTCGGACGTCATCAGCCGATCGAAACGAGCTTTGGAAGCTTCGGGAGCTTCGGGGTCATCTGCCCATTTCTAAAATTTAGGTTTATTGCTACATCGTTGGAGTTACATCACAAAGCCGCGATGACGGGAAACATTTCATACTGTTGTCTGCGTACTTCATGGTATTACTTTACGATCGTACATTGGACGTTTCGAGTACAGACGAACCCTTATTTCGTCCCAGGCACAGGGAAACATTAGTGAACGTTATGTTTCAATTTCATATAGCCTATTTAACATGTTTCTTGACTCTACTGCAGTACACATAATAAAGCAGGTCTTTCATTCATGTTGAAATTTCGACGTCTAAATGTATTTCCACCTAATAAAGCGCTTTTTCCCTCTCTTCCAAATCAGTGAACTGGTGTTACACGAACATCTGTGGCTCTCTGTTTTCTCTCCCTGCTCTCAAAAGCATGTGACCTTGTTTCTAAACAGACAGTTTTAGCCATTAAATCATCACCACATTTGGTAACAGCATATCAAACACGGTAGTGGGGAGTAACGGTTGCCAGGTGTTGTGGGAAAGATGACGTCAGCTTTCAGTTGAAATAAATAAAAGATTGACTTTGAAGACTGGTGTTCGTTGTAGAAGAATGATGTGGCTCTTGTCTCTCCCCAGATACGAGGCTAAAACCAATGAGCTGATCAATGAGGAGCTCGGTATCGCCTATCCCATCATTGGTGGCATCCCAAACATGATCCCTCAGGAAGCCAGGCTCATCCAGAAAGACACCGATACCTCGACCACACCAGTGCAAGGGTAGAAACCCCACGACCGCACCTTCAGCTGACCCAAACCAATCAGACCGGACGTTGTTGTGTTTTAATGGACTGAAAGAGACAGTACCTATTTAACACTGTAACTGGACTGCTGCACAGTGAGAACTTGTACTCAGATATTTATTTACTAGGGTAGTACCCTGTGTCAGAACCCATCTGCAGGTATGTTCTCCCTGTCCGTGATGGTGGGGCTAGTCCCCATAGTGTCTCTCTTTGGTTTGTTCTACTCTGCTGCAGTGGATGAGAACTTCCCACAAGGCTGCACCAGCAGCAGCAGTCTGTGTTTCTACAGCCTGCTGCTGCCGGTCACCATCCCCGTCTACGTCTTCTTCCACCTCTGGAGCTGGATTGGGATCAAGCTCTTTAGACATAACTAGTCTGTTCTGACTCTGTTCTGTTAAAAGAAGAATCCACCTGAACAGAGCTTGAGCACTATTCAGTAATTTATTGGGGATGTGCCTAGAATTTCTGCTACCCATTTAGTTTCTTAGGTAATAAAAGGTAAAACTAGATGTCACGTCAGCAGCAGAAAATGTTGTTTTTCTCCACGAGGCAGAACTAGACAGGACATGCTGACAGAGTGAGAGCAGCAAAAAATCTATTACTAAAGTTTTGTTAATTTTGACAGTAACCATAGGTGGATTTACATTACTAAGCAATAATATACATAAAGATTTTTTCTTTTGAATACTGGTAGTCGTCTGGCTTAGACTACAGTACGTTATAGTAATATGTTACAGTCACAACAGCTACTAAACAAGCTCCTTTTGGCAAGTTTTGTCAAAGTAGCACAGTAAATCTTGAACATTTGGGTGTTACAGTGTGATGTTAGTTATTCTGAACTGGATGTAGTTGACACTGTTTGAGCCGAAATGGAAGGTTTACTATGGTATTTGTCTGTCATGTGACAAATTTTTATTTACTTGCTATGGAGGTGAAATTAATAAAGATAATATTACATTGAAGCTTCACTGTGTGATTTGGAAAAACACTGTTAAAACTCTTACACAGTATATGTCACAGATTATACAGTAAGTAAATTACTTTCTTCGCAATAAATAAACTTTAATAGATTAAAGGTTTGCTTTCATACAGAACAGATGACGAACAAAGCTATGAATTACAATTTGATGTCATAGATTGCTAAAAACATTCGAAAGGCTGTCACTGAAACTGATATTCAAAGGAGGAACACAAACAACCTGTGTGGACTTGAACCATGTAGCAACAATTTAAATGAAAGCCTAACTTGAAAATTCAAACAATTGACAAATACATAAAGTCATCATTACTGCAATAAGGAATATGTAAGTTTTCTCCGCAAGTTCATTTTGGAATAGATTTACTTTCTCTTGTCCTATATATTTTTCCTTTTCATGTTCAGAATAAAATCCATCATGACTATTAGACCTTTCTACCGTTTATCATAAAGGGATTGACGGCCACTGTTAACATCACACCTTTCTACTGATCTTTAAGGACAAACGCTGTTCCAGCAGAAAAGGTAAGAATGTGACAGCAGGTTAGTGTATAGAAACCTTCATTTCCATCCCTCCGTAAGACCTCAGTGGCCCTTCCTGCTTTTCACCTCTCTGCTCTGAACCAGTTTCATCAGTGGAGACGCCGGTCTGGGAGACTGTCCCTCTCCTTTTGTCTTGAAAAAGAAGGACTCGTTGAGTCTCATCTGGACTGCTCTGACCTGAAGTCAAACAGAATGTCATTTTGTTACTGAACAGTGACAAACACTTCAATGACCCTTTTTGCAAATTATTCTTATTAACACAAAACCTTTTCCGTTCCGCCACGACAGAAAAGACCAAAACACAATAAGTCCATCTCTTAACACATTCCGACGTTCCTGCGCTGTCTATGGCTCTCAGCCTCAAGCCCATTGGTTCTTACTGAAGATGTGAATCTTTATAATTGGTCACATATAGTCCCATTTTCAGCTCCGTCATTTCCTAAAACATCTAGGCACTGTAGTTCTTACCAAATCTTATTCAAACAGGAGTAAATGATGCAGGGGTCAGCAGTGATGTTCATTGTTTTACAGGCGCAGTGGAGACACAGGTTTATGTAGTATTCATGTTTTGTTTGTTAGAGTATTATATGTTTGTGTATCTTACTTCATTTAAACATAAAACTGATTTAGTAAATTGGTTGTTTTAGGATTGTGTCTGAGGGCAGACAGATGCAGATTTGACTCTTGTGTTGCACTACACGACTACACACAGTACATGATGACTCCCTGTGGTTGAATGGATGTTCTGTTGTTGCCACCTTGGTGTTGGATAGATGGTTCTAGGTCATATTTATGTGGATTTCCATGAGCTTTATATTTACATTATTACCTACAGCATTTATGATGAATCATGTAAAGGTTTTGATGCAACCCATAAAAGGGAAACTACAGCTTTGCAGGGCCATATTTGGCCCATGAGCAGCTATTTGCCTACCACTGAAATAGTGTATTCATTGGTGACTTTTTGTAGCGACGGACTAATACACATTTGGTGCACTAGCTAGTATTTACTGTACAGCACCAATATGTTTGTTCATGGTACATGAAGGTACATTTCACACCATGACTCGCTGGTGTGTTTTTAATAGTTTTTTTGGCAACAATGGAGCTTTATGGCTGAGATGCATCAGACACAGTACTTGTTAATAGGATCAATTCAATGTTGCCAGCCTTGTCCTTAAAGTGTAGTGATGAAATATTGGTTCAATTTTCACATCATCACATGTGGATTTCTAGTCAGATATATTTTCTTTATAAAAGGGGTTTGAGAGAAATGAATAAGGCACTGTAATTTTAAGATACACTGATTTAGCTATCCTTTTTTCTCTGTAGGCATTTGACAAAAAAATAAGAAACGTGTGAATATTGTAGATTGTGCAAGATACAAGATATTTGATGGCTGTGTGGGCCAGTGTGACTGCAGTGCACCACCTGGGTCAGGTCCAGCTTGCCAGTGCGACAGGGGGGCTCGGTGTCCTCACTGGAGGTTGTCGTGTCTACAGACTTGGGCTCGGACTCTGACAGGGGGCTCAGAGTTGTTTCACCTTTACCTTGTGTGCTTGCAGACCTAGGGTGTGGACCGGGAGGCTCTTTCTTTACCTCTTCCTCCCTCATGTCCGAAGAGCATGATGGATCTTTTCTGGCCCTCTGCTGCAGGCTCAGGTCCAACGGTTTCAAGTCTTCAAAGTGCAAAGTCACTCTAGCTTTTTGGCAGAAGTTGAGGTAGGAGCAGAGCTCAGTGGTGAAGAAGTTTTCTGTCTGTGTGGAAGTGCTTGTCGTGGACTGTTGGCTTGAAGTACAGGAATGTTTCTTTGACTTTGCAACATCCAGGGAGGAATTTACATCAATTGGCACATCCAGGTAAGGATTCACCGCACGTTGCTTTATATGTACAGGACGTGATAATTCTTTCTCCTTAGTAAGGTTTGCGTTTAGCTCCATCTGTGTCTGAAAGGATTTTCCCTTCTTGGGATTCTGATGGGCTTTGTTGAACTCCTCTTCTTCATCTGTGAACCTGAGTACCTGGACTGTCTTTGGCTTTCTGGGATGCTGGAAATTGAAATGTGATTCTTGTGGACATTTGTATGATCCTTCAAGATTCTCGTCCTGCTGTGTGAACATTTTAGGAATTGTAGTGACGGCTTTGTCACTGGCTTCACCACTGGAAGATTCGGAGGGCGATGCTCTGAATGTCTTCTGGGTGATAAACAGGTCCTGGCTGTTTATATCCTGGCTGTTGCACTGGGAGTCATTATCCTGTGTTTGTGCCAGGCTGTACCCTGCCACCGTGACCTGTGAACAGCTCTCCCCACCTCTCGCAGCTTCTGAGAGGGTGCTCTCTCTGGGACACTGCAGAGATGACGAGCCAAATTTAGGACGTTTGACGCGGATGTAGCCTGGTGATAAGTCAAACGCCACTTTCTTTTTTCTTTTGGTTTTCTTCTTGGAGTCCTGAGTTACTTTTAGCTTGTCATTGTTGTGTGAATTTGATGTTTCAGGCTTCACGGTAGGTTTTGCTTGTGCAACACTGCCCTGTGTAAAAATAAAACTGTTAGTTCCTAGTTCCAAAGCCAATCTGCTTTTCTTCTTTTCTTTTTTCTTTTCTTTCATCCCCTTCATTGCTTCTTTGAATTTCAAGTTTTTCTTTTTCTTTTTCTTCTGGACACTCTCATCTGTTTTCACGGTTATGTTGTTTTTTGTTTGCTTTAGGCATTGTTTGTCCTTTTTGGAGTGCTTTTTCCTTTTTCTTTTGCCCGGTGAAGTCCAAGACTCCCAAAAGAAGTCTGTCTCCTCACAGTCGCTCATGGCTCTGTTCAACAGATACGGCAAAGAGCATAGTTTTGAATACATAGTTTTATATTTAGTTTTAGACACCTGTATAGATAAATACACTAACTTAAAGAGAATGCAAGATAACAGATGAGTTGATTAAATTAGGTCAAATGTCATTTCTGTTCCTATTTAATGTTGTTATTACAGAATATGTACAAGCATCTGATCAAACAAAGTGATACCACAAAGGGATGTCTTATTTTTGTAGTTATTTCAACACTTTTCAAACTGACAGGCAGGGCTATGCTACCTGTAATTTTACAAACAAAGGGAAAAACTCCAAAAGCAATCACATACACCACCACAACACCTACTGTTTTGTCTTTATTGGTGTGTCTACTGTCATTTAAAGGAAAGTGAGACTGTATTAGTCCACTGTTGTTTTTGTGTTTTGTCCCATCTGTATCTATAACCTACTTCATTGGTCTTGTTTTATATCAATGAGACTAAATATATAAATATCAGAAACACCAGCCTCTATCAAAAACTGAACATTATATTCTTCAGGAGGGTACATTTTACAGCAGGGCTGTTTTATTAGACTATATTCATTTTAGCTAGGTGCATAAAAATAAGAAAAAAGTGAAAGAAATACCCATTCCTATTCCTCGGAGCCCAGGGTGACATCTTCAGATAACTTGTTTGGTCAGACCAACAGTCCAAAACCAAGAGGTATTCACTTTACAATGATATAAAGTAGAAGAAAGCAACAAATCTTGAAACTGGAGCATGTGTGATGAAAAAAATGACTGAAATAATTAAAAAAAAATTTTGTCGATAGACAAATCCATTTGTCGTCTAATCGCTTCAGCTTGAGCTAGGTGTACCTAATAAACTGACAACTGAGTGCGTATTGATTTTGTCTTTTAACTTACTGGCGTCTACAGGTGTGAATGTTAAGATTGTAGTGTCTTTTAGAGCTGCAACGGTCAATTTAGCAATTGGTCAATCGACAGAAAATTAATCGGTAACTATTTTGATAATCAATTCATTATTTTTTGTTATTTTCTAAGCAAAAGCGCTAAACATTCACTGGTCCCAGCCTCTCACATGTGAGGGTTTTACACTTTTCTGTGTCGCATATAATAGCAGATTAAATATCCTTGGATTTGGACAGCTGGTCTAAAAAGAAAACAAATGAGTAGTTGCATCCATCAACATCCATTTTTCAATATTTTCTGTATATCTCATGTAGGTATTCTGCTGGGATTGAGATCTGGTAAATGATCATTAAACCATTCAGTGAACCATCCCACCCAGTGTGGAAGCGCCTGGCTGTATATATAGATCCTTTCATTTGCTTCCGGCCATAATATCTTCTTCGCTGTATTTGCTTGCTCAGCAGCTTCAAGTTGCTTTGTCTATTACCTGCATTTGCATGCAATTGTGCTGTGAGTGTGTGTGTGTGTGTTTATCAGCAAATCTTTTATGCATAACTGTTTGAGATGCATTGTGTTGGTGTCTTGTTTCCTAATGAGGTTTTTAAACAGGACTACTTTGTCTGATCACTTTTCATGGTTTAACACCAAGGCCAGGCACAAGCCAACAGACATGATGAATGTGCACTGCTTTTGGGAAGATAAACTCAGTGAAGTAAAGACTATACTTACATGGACATAAATAATTTGCATAGTACCCTTAACAGCTCTACTGGCTGTTAAATAGTAGGCCATTTACCCTGTATCTATGATGAAACATTAGGTTTACTGAGCACACTGGCATATTATAAATTACAGCATTAATCCATATATGATTAGGCAAATATAAAAGACTAAGTACCCACTTCCTACAAGCAATAGCAACCTATCTCGTTGCAAGACATTTCTCCTGGGTATCACATTGCAGCAGAGTTGATAGGAAACATATGGAAAAATATTGGTGAGTGAATCACATTCACATTTTGCTATCATTTTCTTGAATTGAGTGAAAGTTAATTTCGGATATATGTGATGTTTGTTACTTTCTGCAGCGTGAATAACCTCTTTGCTAACAAAGGAAACTGATAGCACTTCGATTTAGGATGTTAACATACAAACAGAGTCTGCAACAATGTAACAGTGTATGAAGTGGAAGAAGTGATACTACTTGGGAAATTACATGGAATTACAATAAGGCTACTTACATTTTTATATAGCCTGCTGAATTTACCCCCAGCTGTTACCGGTTTGTCTACAGTCCTAGCTTAAAACTAACGTTAGAGAAAGCAGTCGCAATTACGAAATACACATTAGCCTTAGCAAAATCACACTGTAACGTTACAGGTTTAGGGTAACTTTCTGTAGCCTAATTTTGGCCGTATTTCTTCGCGGTTCAAAAAGGTAACTACTTTGTACACCTACCAAGCGAGTTATTTTGACCCATGTCTAGGCTTTAACATACAAAGCCAGTATACAAAAAACGTTTTTTGCAATACCTTAATAATTACCTCAGGAGTGCAGACTCAACTTCAAAGAGAGCGCCCCCGCTTCCCAGAGTTCAAGCTGAGTTCAAGTGCTTCCTGTAAGGTCGGACTTCTGAGGATCTGAGAGAATAGGCAGATTTAAAACTACAGATTTTTTTTTTTTTTTTTTGAGGAAAGCAGCACAAAACACTTCATTGTCTATTTTTCATTAGGTTTAATTCATTTATCCAAGTACACATAGTCTTGCTGTACACATAATCAGCTTTAATAATAAGTCTTACATGCAACATACCGCCAATTCAAACATGCTGGAACTAACAATAAAATGCATTATCCATACATCTAGTAGTTATTTAATGTTTCCATGCCTTTACCTCATAACTGTCACACCTCACCAACTGTGGTGTCAAAGAAAATCCTGACCATGTCGTCTTTGCTTGCTAGGTAATTCTGGTGCTTGAGGTAACAATAATTTTCGGTGGCACATAAAGAAGCCTGCAGTGTGGATTAGGACCTTTTGATTATCTTCTCGCGACATTGGAAGCCCTGTCTTATGTCACCGCAAATAAGATGAGACGTGTATCCGAGGAGAGTGTTTCTAAAGTTCATCTTCAGAGTTCATGTTTCACAAACTGTTCACAGTAAGACCACTTGATGTCGCAATTTACCATCTGCTACATGAATCAGTGTCAAAACTTTTGCGGGCAAACAGTAGCAGAATAAATAAATTTACATTTGGTACACTTATATTACATTTAGGAAGCAAAGTACAAATACACACCTGAATATACCAAGATCTCTGGAACTTTGTCTAAACTTTTTTTATTAACATTTACATTACATTAAATTACATAACATTTTTAAATTCATACAAAAAGAAAATATGTGAGTGAAGACATTTGGAACTTTTAGTCCTTTTACTCAGTCACTATGAAAATAATTGCTTTCATAAATCCCCTCCTCTAGACGAGAATCCCTCTGTGGTTATGATTCATGACTCATTCTCTTTCTCAGTCTCTCAGTAAAAACGTGTACTCTCCCTGAGTAGATGTGGCCTAAGGATAATACACAGCTGACTGGGAAACCTTTCAGACAGCAGAGAAGACAGATTCTAGTTTGTAACTTTATTTCCTCTTCAGTTTTGTACAGCAGACTAATCTATTGTCTTGTTTTCTATACATTTACTCTAGGACATTACTTTTTCTTTTGTTTTCCAGAAACGTCCTCTATTCACAGACACATCATGAATGATGAAGGCTGCATATGATGCAGTAAAGGTGGGGGAAAGAGAATTATACAATAATGGCTCAGATATATCTTCTACTGAGTCTACAAAAGGGACATATTTAATAACAATTTAACTTAATATTTCCATCTCCATCTCCATGACAAATGAGCAACTCTATCCTAGTAAGACTTTGCAATGCAAATATTGCAAATAAGGTCAAGACTGACCTTCCAGGTCAGTTTTACTTATTAATGTCCTTGGTTTTCTGTGGGTATCCCCGTTAAATTGAGCGTATACAGTATATCCATGCTTTAAGTAGTGATTCATCTGAACTGATACTTTATGATTACAACATCTTGAACGCCAGTGTTTTTTCCAAACATTTGTCAGAAGAACAGCATTTTTCACACACATCTGATATTTTAAGGTTATTTTGAAGGCCGCTGGAGGAAATATACCTTACACCTCAGACCAGCTAGATCACAGCATTCCCATTACAAAGTCTGACTGCCAATTTATCCTACTGTAAGTAATGCTGTGACCCATTTCTATCCCATTAGTTTGACAGAAACCTTTATGGTGTACTGCATCTGTACCACCTGCTGTAGTACAAGAACATTCTTTACCCTTATTAGTTTGAGGAGTAAGATTTTTATAGGTAAGCAGATGGGTTGTTAAAGTGTGCAGTGGACTGCAGGGATTAGCTAATAGGATGCTGGATTTTATTAAACACCAGCTTCATTAATATATAGAAACAGTAAAGCTGAGGGGAAGAAAGTGTTTTTAAATAAAGATGAATAATCAGGAAACACATCATCTACAAACACATTGTGTTCTTCCAGCTTTCTTGTCCATTTTAAACAGTTTGATAAAGACATGTTATTTTGATTATTTACCATTTATAGTTCAATAGAAATAAATGTATAGTTGTTTTGTTAGGTCTCTGCCCGTCCGTTATTAATTAACGTCAATATAATAAATAATCAACAATGGAATACATTTAAATATGTGATAATATTGATAACTTAATGCACCAAATCACACAAATTGCTATAGAGTCAAAAGCTAATATTGCAGCAACTGAGATCAGCTAAGCTAGTTACCTTTAGTTTAGCTTATTATCATGATTAAATTATGCGGAGTAACATGCTGAAGTAACAAGTTGTCAGTTTGACAAAAATGGACATTTTTCATTTCCAGATAACTGGTAGGGAAAACTCAATAAATACATTTAGTCTGAATTTTAGCTAAGGCTAGCTATCTCACAACTAGTTTCTAGTTGATAACTCTCTTGCTTTGGCTGTCTAATTTTCTATCTCTATGGCAGAGAATGCAGTATATGCAATTGCAGCATACGGAGTTTACATATTCCCAAGCCAGGGCAGCACGCCACGGTGGCCTGGGCAGATACAAATACAAAATGCATGCAATATAGTTACTGCACATTTTTTTAAAGACATTTCTACTGATTTTTTTTGTTGTTGTTGTCAGTCAGTTTCTGGTATTCACTCAGTTGTAATACTGTATGTTGCCTTTGTAGGGCAGTACATGTTTACCCAATGAAACTGAAGGGGAATTAGGTTTTTTAGGTCTCTCTGTTCAGTTTTTTTTTTTTCATCCACCATTTAAGGTCATAGTCAAAGTCATTTTTACTCAATTCACAGGTGTAATGAGGTTTTTTCCTGTGACATGTAGGACTGATTTCAAAATGCCTGGGTCTTTGTCATCATTCAGACTGATTCAGGCTGGCTGATGTGGAGAACAGGATGGGTTAGGGTTAGGATGGTGTTGTAGTCAAGACCGCCCAAACTGAGACCAAGTCAAGACCAAGACCAGAGTTTATTGATACCGAGACAAGACCAAGACTTTTAGGGGCTGAGACCAAGTCAAAACCAAGACCACTTCCCCACATTACATGACACACAATAAAATGTGGAATGAGATCATAGGTACTTATCAAATTGAGATGAAAAATCCACATTCCCATTAACACACCCAGATACAAACACTAAGAGCTGAAATCAATATAAACATCTTTATTCAACACTCCTTTTCCATGCTAACCATCGCGGTTAGGAGTGACAGTGACATTTTTAATTAGGGTTATTGGTTGCATTTGAAGCAATAACAAATAAATCAGACAATGCACAAGCAATTTATTGATATTCCCATAGTTATGGTCCAAGACGGGACCAAGACCATCAAAAAGTGGTCTTTCGAGTACTACAACACTACTATCAGAAACATTAGGTCAGTGCCAGTCACTCCAGACACATGATTGTGGTGATTGAAACATTATTTGAATTGCACATTGGTAACATCCCTGTCTGTTTCCCTTTGCTTTTGACGCTTCTTTCATCCAAGGTGCTACATTACTCCTGCCTGAAGTCAAGAAGACATTCCCACAACGTTTGTAGTGATACCTGTGTTGGGTGTGTCTTTAACTTGTAGTCAATTGTGACGTCAGACGTGAGGTTAAGAGAGGTCTCTGCCAGACTATGGAATAACCTCCCTAAACACTGGTTGTTGTTTTTACATTTGTTAGCCATGGCAAAAATCTACTGGACACGTTCCCGCTCATGATAGTAGGTATTTCACAGTTTTGAAATACACAGATTGTTGTGAAATTTGCTGAGCATATTCATGCTGCCAGGGCAAAAAAAAATGTTATCCCCTTTTTAATTTCTGAATTGTCTCTCCTCTAGCAAAACCCTCAGGACAAACGTTACATTTTTAGCCCGACAACTGGTAAGGCCCTGAGATTAGAATAAATATCAATTTGTTGTTTGTTCCTTTAACACCAATATGTTTTGGAGTGTTGGAGCACTATGACTATGTGGTTGCAATTATTTTCTTTTAGCCTAGTCTTTCTATAATGAACTGAATGAATGGAAAGTCAACAGACATATAGTCCTGGTGTCATGGATCAGTATGAGTAGCGGCTGTTTCATATCTCATCATTGTTCTGTCAGTGCTGAATTTGTTTCTTTTCTTCCGGGGTTCCAATAAGCTCCCATAAACTCACTGTACAGTACCTGCTCAGCAGACAAAGTTAGTGTCTAATTGATCAAATTAATGCAGATTTAAAACTGAATGTATGATGTGAAATAGACATTCTTTATTTAATATTTGGCAACTTTAATGATAAAAACTTTAGCCTTGGACTTATTCAGAAATGTTGAAAGTAAATAACAACAACAAACCAAAAAAAGCAAATATAATCTTATGTTGAAAACTTACAGTACATTTTACCTTTTGTCTTTGTAAATTGGCGGCTATTATTGATCTTACTGGGACTTTATGTCTGTGGGGGTGGGTAAGGTGATTAACACATATGAAAAAGAAACTACTTTAGCACAGGCTGAGATTTCTCACTGTCAAAAAACTGTGGGGGTTATCGGTTCCGTTTTGGGGTGGGATAGAATGTGGACTGAGAGTACCTGCATGTCTCGTGATGAGACATTTGAAGACCCATGTGGATATTACATAATCTCCCAAAATGATTAACATGTTGGTGCAGTAATAAGATCCATATAAACCTTAATGTTCTCATTGTGCTCCTAGATTACTCCTGTTGGGGTCATTATACATTTTCATCTGTGAGGAGTGTTCCGTCGCCATGGTGATCGCATGCAGCTAGGCAGCAAAACCCTGAAAGCTCGGAGAGAAAGAGAAGGGGAGGGAGGGGCTGTGTTTCCCTTGAGGTGTTTAGTTGTTGAATTGTGTGTGTGTGGGTGTGTGTGTGGGTGTGT